ACTTTTTATGTATGCCGTATGGCATGATCTGAAAGATAAATGTATTTACTATAGGTTGTCGGGGTTTAAACAGCCATATAACATACATCAATTAAAGGCTAATAAAAACTAGAGGAAATTTAGATTTAATGAGCTGGATTTAATGATTTTGCAACTGCTTTATGTCCAAATTGAAAAGTAAATGTTATGATTTTAACTTCAAAAATTGTATTCAGATTCTTTTCAGTGGAAAGGTTCACATGAAAGGTCTGAAGCTGGAAATATGAATATAAAGTGGACTTGCTTCACTTCACTGCTACTTTCAACCTTAATTTTTAAGAGACTGATGTTGGAACCTTAATAGTTTCAACATAGGAATTCACACATAAAATAGCTAAAGTTTAATACACTAAACTGAAAGACCAGATTTTATCTTGTGGCATCAAATTTGATACCCACTTGGTTCATCAGGAAGGTTGATCTGCCACTCAGACCTTTGCCATTTTAGCTAATGGAGTAACTGATTAATACTAGTGAGCAATCATCCTCTGTGTGAGCCAGCACTGGGTGAGTGGGAAGGGAGAAAACTTTGCCAGTAGGTTTTATATTTACGGATAGCAGAAGAATGGTGAGATTTGGGAACTTGGGTTCTATTTCAGACTTTGGACGAGCGTGTGCTCTAGTGATCACAGATTTTCCTACCCATTCCCCCAAGCATGACCCATCCCCTACTGGTATGTCCTCCAAGTTGTTCTTGTATTCAAGTCATGTATTTATATAGTGGCATTATACTCTGAATTTATATAGTGACATTATATTTTCTGTCTTTTTACCTATCTCTTTCCTAATGATTCCCAACATTCCGTTAGCCTTTTTTTGAATACTGTTGCATATTGAGCAAAATTCTTCAGAGGACTATCCACACTGTTCCCAAAATGTCTTTCTTCTGTAGTAACAGCTAATTGAGACTCCAGCATTTTATATGTATAGTTGGTATTATGTTTTCCAATACACATATTTTGCATTTATCAACATTGAATTTGTGCCACTTTGTTGCTCAGTTTTATGAGATCCCTTTGTAACTCTTCTTATTCATTTTTGGATTAACTAGTGTGAGGAGTTTTGCATCACTTGCAAATTCTGCCATCTCACTATCCGCCCTCTTTTCCAGATCATTTATAAATATGTTGAATAATACCAGTCTAAATTCAGGTCCCTAGGGGATATTGCTATTTACCTCTCTCTGTGAAAAATGGCCATTTATTCCTACTCATTTTTGTTTCCTATTTTTCAGCTGGTTACTGATCTATGAGGACCTTTCATTTTATCCCATTACAGTTTACTTTCCTTTGAGAGCTTACTTTTGATGAGGGAACTTGTCAAATATTTTCTAAAAGTCCAAATACACTACGTCAACTGGATCATCCTTGTCTGCATGTTTGACCCCCTCAAAAAATTGTAATAGATTGATGAGGCATGATTTCTCTTTATAAAGATATCCTGACTCTTCCCCAATAAATTATATTCATCTATGTATCTGATAATTCTATTCTTTACTATAACTTCTCTACCAATTTGTCTGGTACTGAGGTTTGGCTTAGTGGGCTGTAATTTGCCAGGATTGCTGCCTTTTTTAAAAAATTGGTGTTATGTTTGCTATCCTCCAGTCATATGGTACAGAAGCTAATTTAAATGATAGGTTACACACCACAGTTTGTAGTTCTACAATTTCATATCTGAGTTCATTCAGAACTCTAGGGTGAATACCTGGTCCTGATGGCTTGATACTCTTTAATTTATCAGTTTGTTTCAAAATCTCCTGTAATAATACTTCAATCTGGGACAGCTCCTCTGATTTGTGACCTAAAAAGAATGGCTCAGGTTTGGGGAATCTCTCACATTCTCTGCAGTACAGACCACTGCAAAAAATTCATTTGGCTTCTCTGCAATGGAGTGCTCCTTTAGCACTTTGATTGTCCAGTGGCCCCACTGATTTGCTTGGCAGACTTTGCTTTTGTCTTTTGCTAGTTGTTTTCAAATTCTTTTTCGGCCTGCCTAATTATACTTTTACACATGACTGGCCAGAGTTTATGCACCCTACCATTCTTCCTCAGTAGGATTTGACTTCGAATTTTTAAGACATCTTTTTTTCCTCTCTAACCACCTCTTTTACTCTGCTGTTTAGCCAAGCATGGAGTTCTTATCCATAGAGATTCTATGGTACTGTGTGATTCATTTAAGGTTTTTTAACTATATTTGATCCCATGCTTCCTTTCACATACAGCATCACTCCTCCAACAGTACACTGAGTTTCTGAAATGCCTATTATATCAATATCCTTGTACTGAAGGTCGCACATCCTAGTGTAACCCTTTTCTTGTTCACCGTCCCAGTACGAGGTTGTTCAAGATAGGATAAGTCTGCCTTGTGGTTCTTTACACAACTTTTCTGAGGCTCCTCTGTGTGCACTTCATTGTGTGTCGATGTGCATCACCTCAGAGCTGACTCACTAAGACAAACCACCAGGAACAAAGTTTGTTTCTGCAAACAAATGTAACCCTTCCACCAGGTAGAGCCAGCAGGAGCCAGGGCCAGGTTCAGTATTAAGGGGTTCCTCTCCATCCATCTAACACAGAACTGACTCGAGTTCCCACCCTGTAACCTGGGAAGTTCGCACAACATCCCTGAGTGCCTCTGAGAGGCAATGCTTCCCCACTTACAAGCATGGAATCTGAATACAGAAAAAAAATCGTTAATAAAACGGAGAGGGAAGTAAGGTGATATTAATTTGGGAAAACACCAAAACCAGCATTCATAACCCAAACTGAGTAAAGTCCCACCCCAAGTAGGTTGAGCAATGTCTCTTTCCTCTCAGATTCTCAAGTCCAGCAGTGTAAATGTCCTGTTCACATGCCCAACCCTTCTCTGTACCCCACTCACAGTTGCTCCCCTTAGTTAGCTACATCTGCAAAGTCTACCTCCCAACTTGAGTAGGAAGAGGTAAAGAGGCATCTTACTCACTTTACTGGTCACTTGCCATCCGCCTGCTCACTACTCTCTGGCTCACCTCTATGTTGCTGGCCACCCATTACACTTTGCCACCACCACCACTTTGCTGCTCCCATTGGCTGCTTGCTACTGCTCCTGTTGGCTGCCCTGCTGGCTGCTTACTGCTCCTGCCTGCCCCTGGCTCAGATGATGCTGCTCCTGCTGGCCCACGGCCAACTGCTCTCTGCTTCCACTGGCTTGTGGTGGATTTGCTCTGGGTCAAACCTAGTTATTTTAGCTCTCAGTGATTTCAGCTCTTGGCCCAAAGCACAGTCCAGTGACACAAAAATTCCAGCATCTACTAGAGTAAATTTAAAATAATAAGAGACTCCTTATGGAGTCTATTCTAGCTCTGTCATGGGAAGAGTGAGGTGACACAGGTTGAATCATTCTTAGAGCATGTAGCCTGCTGATTCAGAGTCTTGTCCTCTACCACTTCACAGACCCTTTACAGTGGAGCCCTTGTCCATCTGTGGTCCTTTACACTGATAGTGTCTCTCCTTTTGAACTGGGTTAAACAGAGTCTGACTTTTTGCTGCATTTCCATAATAATTGCAAACATTGGTGATCATATTTCACAATTCCTGCATAGAGGCTACGTCTAGACTGCAAGCCTCTTTCAAAAAAGAGCATCTAGACTACAACCAGTACTTTCGAAAAAGCAAGTCGCTTTTTCAAAAGAGAGCACCTAGGCAGTCTGGATGCTCTCTTTCAAAAAAGCACAGTTTACATTACGTGGCGCCTTTTTTCAAAAGAGCATTTTCAAAAAAGGTGTTATTCCTTGTAAAATGAGGTTTTCTGTGGTTGAAAAAACTTCCGCGTTTTTTTGATTTACTTTCGAAAGAACACAGCAGCAGTCTAGACACAGGGGAATTTTTTTTGAAAAAAGGCCACTTTAAAACAAAACAAAACCCTGTAGTCTATACACACCCTTAGTGTTAACACAATTTGTGACTCCACAACAGCCAAGTTGGTTATAATGGGCAAAACACCTTGTAACAGTTGACTCTCTAGCGCAGTGTTTCTGAAAGTGTTCCAGGGAATCAGTTTGGGTGTGTCTAGACTACAGCTCTCTGTCGACAGAGAGATGTAGATTGGGTACATTGAAATTGCTAATGAAGAGGGAATTTAAATATCCCTCAATTCATTAGCATAAATACGACCACCGCTTTTTTTCGAAACAGAGCTTTTTCGAAAAAAAGGCAGTCTAGATGCAGATCTGTAGAAAAATAAAGTCTTTTTCAAAAGATCCCTTATCTCTCATAAAATGTGGTTTACAGGATCTTTCGAAAAAGGGTTTATTTTTCAACAGATCTGCTTATAGACTGCAGTTTTTTTTCCGAAAAAGCTCCATTTCGAAAAAAAGAGGTGGCCATGTTTATGCTAATGAAGTGCGGGATATTTAAATTCCTGCTTCATTAGCAATTTCAATGTGCCTAATCTACATGTCTCTGTCGACAAAGAGGTGTAGTCTAGACACCCCAAGAAACACGTTAACTGGCTGCTCCGGCCCATGCCACTTCCCACGACTCCCCTTGGCTGCAAAGGACTAAACGGAGCCAATGGGAGCCATGAGGCTCCGTGGCTGTGGCGCCGGTAAATAAACAAACCGAGGCAGCCAGTTAATGTGTTTTGCAAAGCGATTCCATGGAATGCCATCAGAAACACTGCTCCAGCAGATCTAAGCAAACAGAGGTGAACTGTATTTACATGCACATGCCAAGAATCTCATTCTTTAAACTGAGAGTGTTTCCCTCCTTTGTGCCAGGTTAAGCACAAACTTTCTTCTTTTTTATTCTCCCAATAATGGCAGACATTGCAATTAGTATTAACACAATGTGTGACCCAAAAACAGCCAAGCTGATTACAATGAGCACAAAAACACTGGCATATCTAAGCAAAACCGGGGCAAACTGTATTTAAACACACCCAGGGTTTCTCTCTAATCCCTGCTGCCTGTAGACTTGGCTTACCTATAGAGCAAGATTACAGTCCAGCAGTTTCCTCCTTTCTGCTTGCTTGCCTCCTCCTTCCAGCTTCTGTCAGCACAGAAACTTCCTGCTGGGAGGGTGGAGGAGACTTCCTGGCAGGAACTAGGAAGTTCTCTCAATTTATAGCAATTTGTAGTCCATATACCTCAGCAGCAGCAGTGAGAACTACAAACTGTGGGCAACAATAGTATTTAGACTTCTTACAAGCACTTACAAAATATACAAGCACTTTTAAAATTTGTCTTTTTGTCTGTCTCCATATGATGTACATGAACGGGACATGTTTCATAGAATCATAGAATACTAGGACTGGAAGGGACCTTGAGAGGTCATCAAGTCCAGTCCCCTGCTCTCATGGCAGGACCAAATACTGTCTAGACCATCCCTGATAGACATTTATCTAACCTACTCTTAAATATCTCCAGAGATGGAGATTCCACAACCTCCCAGGGCAATTTATTCCAGTGTTTGACTACCCTGACAGTTAGGAACTTTTTCCTAATGTCCAACCTAAACTTCTCTTGCTGCAGTTTAAGCCCATTGCTGCTTGTTCTATCCTCAGAGGCCAAGATGAACAATTTTTCTTCCTCCTCCTTATGACACCCTTTTAGAGATACCTGAAAACTGCTATCATGTCCCCCCTCTATCTTCTCTTTTCTAAACAAAACAAGCCCAATTCTTTCAGCTTTCCTTCATAGGTCATGTTCTCTAGACCTTTAATCATTCTTGTTGCTCTTCTCTGGATCCTCTCCAATTTCTCCACATCTTTCTTGAAATGCGGTGCCCAGAACTGGACACAATACTCCAACTGAGGCCTAACCAGCGCAGAGTAGAGTTGCACTGGTTAGGACTCCATTTGACTTTATTTTCAGTTAGTACATGTACTTCATCATCTTTTTTCTCTCCTCTTCACTAGAACATAGAGATTCCCAAATTAATAGAGTCTTCCCTATGGAATGTCCTCTCCAAACTATGTGCTCTTCCACGCTTGTCAGTTTCCCCCAGCCATAAATTTAAAAATTCCTCTATTCCCGTACATGCCATCAATTTGGTTCTGTTTTAGTTTAGGCAGTGCCCCTACTTCCTGCATAGGCTTCTCTTTTACAAAAGGTCCCTCGGTTCCTAGTAAACTTAAAACCCTTCTCCTACACCATCTTCTCTTCCACACATTGAGATCTGGCAGTTCTGCCTGTCTAACTGGCCCTGTGGGGAAGCATTTCAGAGAACGCTGGATTGGGGATCTGGACCTCAGTCTCCTACTTTACAGCTTACATTTTTCCTCCAGGATCTTTCTCCTCTCTCTCTCTCCCTATATCTTTGGTACTTACATGTCTTTGGTACTTACCACAGTCTCCTCCCCAGCACTGCACATAAGTTTGTCTATCTGTCTCAAGTGGTCTGCAGCCTTTGCACCTAGTAGGCAGTTCATCATATGCTTCTCCTAGTCATCACAAACCCAACTATCTATACATAATTGAATCCCACATTGCTATTACTTGTTTCTCTGGGGGAGAAGATCTCTGTTATTAGGAAGAGCTATCTTTTATGTGAGAAGGTACCCTGACATCATCTGGATGGATGATCCCAACTATGGGATTGTTTCCTTCTGCACCAGTTTGTTGTTCTCTCTACTGGGCAGTGGCAGCCAGAGGAAACATTGTCTTAATACTAGTTCTCCAGAAACAGTACTGTTTTTCTGTTCACTTTCAGGAACAATTCAATGTATTTGCTGTTTAAAGCTCAGTTATGGGTGCTGATTTTCTTGTCCTATGAGCCTCCATGGCAACTGAGTTCAGGTGATGCTCTTTTGCAAATGGTACCTTGAGTTATATGTCTGAACAGGGCATGCTCTATATGCTTGCACTCTTACTTTTCCATCAGAGTCCATGTGTGCTGGAGATTTGCATTTCTAGATGTCTTTTTTATTTATTTTTTAATATTGAAAATGCCTAGGTTAGACTGTTCAAAATTGCATGACAAAATTTAGGTACCTAAATTCATGTTTGCATCTAAATAATTGTCTTGATTTCCAGAGATGTGAATGAGCTTCAGACTAGCGCCTCTCAAAATCCAACTAATTATTGAGCTACTTTAAAGGTGGATTTAGGTCTCTAAATTTAGACATCCAACTCTGAACATTTTCTGTGATGAATCCGTTAACTTGAAAAACTCAAACTGTAAATTTCAGCTGCTTTTCACTTGAATGAAAACATGTCTTAAAACCTATAGTAAGTGAAAAGAAGCATTTTTGACTTTCTGTAACTAAAAGAGAACTGAATGTATTTTGCTGATTAATTTCCTTTTTCTTCACTCTAGGGTGCTGTGTAAACTCACCCAAACTTGAAATAAGATGCTCAATTTGCACTACACAAATTGCGTATCTTATTTCGACTGAATTTCAAAATAGGCCATTTCAAAATTTGGCGCATCTACCCAGTGCCAAATTTTGAAATAATGTGCTATTTTGAGACATCCTTTAACCCTCATGGAATGAGGGTTACCGGGATGCCAAAATAGCATGCCCATTATTTACAAAAATATTTCAAAATAATGGGCAGCTTGTGACGATGCGGGGTAGCTATTTTGGGATATAGCCATGCAGTGTAGATGTACCCTCAGGGACACTTTTAGGAACTTGAAAAAGCTGCAGAATGCTTGCCACAAATAAGTTGAGAGCCAAGCCTCGGAGCGCGTGGGCAGCGGACAGCCCTGTCCGCTGCCCACGTGTTCTGCCGCTTTGCTTCCTCTCCCTGGTCTGCTGGAGACCAGGGAGAGGAACGGCCCTGTTCGTAACTGCGGATCCGACATAAGTCGGATCCGCGTAACTCGGGGACTGCCTGTACTGTATACAGTATGTATAATAAAAAGGGTTAAGAACACTTTATATACAGTATATACTGTATACAGTATATACATAACCAGCTTATAGTACCTCCTGATACTCCGGCATATCTGATAATCCAGCACCACCTAGGTCCCATAGGTTCCGGATTATTGGAAGTCTATTGTACTGAGTCAGAGCAAAGATCCATCTAGTGCAGTATCCTGTCTTTCTACTATGGTCAATGACAGGTGTGCTAGTGGGAATGAACACACTAGGGATTTCCATTCATAGCTTCTGGCAACTAGAGCTAGGGGCACCATCCTTGCCCATTCTGGCTAATAGTCATTGATGGACCTAACCTCCTTGAATTTATCTAGTTCTTCTTTGAACCATGTTATAGTCTTGGTCTTCACAACCTCCTCTGGCAAGAAAATCTGCAGGTTGACTGTGACTTGTGAGAAGAGGTACTTCTACTTGTTTTAGATCTGCTGCTGTTTAATTTCATTTGGTGACCCCTAGTTCTTGTGTTATGAGAAGGAGTAAATTACTCTTTTTATTTACTTCCTCCATATCTATCATGATTTTATAGATATCTATCAGAGACCTCTTGGACTTTTCAGCTTGGAAAAAAACTAAGTCTTATTAATCTCTCCCCATACAAAAGCTGTTCCATATCCCTAATCATAAAGAGGCAATATGATATTTTCTCCCTTATCATTTATCACTTTCTTAATATTTCCCAACATTGTTTGCTTTTTTGACTGCTGATGCACATTGAGTGAATGTTTCAAAGAACTAGTCACACTGACTCCAACATGTCTCTCTTGAATGGTGATATTGAATTTTATTGGCCATTTTGTTGCCTAGTCACTCAATTTTGCGAGATCTTTTTGAACCTCTTCACAGTCTGCTCTGGATTTGGCTATCTTTAGTTTTGTGTCACTGGTAAATTTAAATACATTCCTGTTTACCTTTTTTTTCCAGATAATTTATAAATATGTTGAAAAAGTACTAGGCCCAGTATAGGTATCTGGGGGACAACACTGTTTACCTCTCTCTATTCTGAGAACTAATAATTGATTCCTACCCTTTGTTTCCTATCTTTTAACCTGTTAAAGATCCACAAGAAAACCTCTCATCCCATGACAGTTAACTTAAGACCCTTTGGTGAAGGAACTTGTCAAAAGCTTTCTTCGAATCCATGTACACTATATCCACTGGATGCCCCTTCTCCACATGCTTGTTGACTCCCTTGAAGAATTCTAGTAGATTAGTGAGGAATGATTTCCCTTTACAGAAACCATGATAACTGCCCCTCAACAAATCATGTTCATCTATATGCCTGGTACTGAAGTAAGGCTTAATAACCTGCAATTGCTGGGATCATGTAGAACCTTTTTAAAAAACTGGTATCACATTAGCTATCTTCAGTTCAGTATTTCTCCAGGAAAGCTACTTCATTTGAATCAAGTATGACCTATAACTCTCTGGAGCATTGCAGTGGGAGGAGCACTTATAGGCCTCCAGCAGTGGGACAGCTTGGCATTATACCAATATAACACACAATGCTTCCAATGGTGCTGGGGGAAGTGAGGTAAGAGTGGCCTTTCACTCACAAAATATGTAGCCTGAAGACCCTCCAATAGGATATACTGGTGGTCAGGGAGACAGGGCCATTATTGCACACATCCGACAATGCCAGGGACTTGAAATGTCAGGTGCAGCCAAACGTATTATGGCTGACTGCTATGCAGACAATTTAGGTTGGGGTGAAGGACTTCCTTGCCACTTTAATACGCATACTCTAGGCCTGCCATAATTTGGCCCTAAGTGAATCAGTTCTGTCTAGTGGTGTGATGCGGTGTATTATGGTGGTTTCTGCCTCATACTATGTCTTTAATTAAAGAGGGGGTATGCAAATAGTAACAAATTTCACAGCAATTGTACATTGAAATGTCAAAAAATGTAAAGATCTGAAATGTCTTTACATTTTTTAATTGCCAGAAACTTCGTTTTCAAGCTAGTTAAATTATTTTGGTTTTATCTTCCCCATCAAAATATTTATTTTCCATGAAATTTTTCAGGGAATCAAGTTTGCATTAAAAACTTCATTTAAGAAACATAAAAAATTGGAAATTTTCAACCTGCTCTAACTTCAGTCTCCACTACTACCTGGAACATTTACATTCAACTTATTGTAAACTTTAAAAAACTTGTGC